TTACCAGCCAGCCCAAGAATTAAGATATCGTAGATTCTGTCAAAGCACTCTTCCCACTTCCTTTTCTTCTCTTTCTTGCCACAGATAACCAACCCCTTCCCCCAGCCAGATGCCCCTCTTCCTGTGCCTGTGCCCGCAGGTCTCCTGACTCCCGGGACCCCCGGCCTGTGTGGCCACCCCTGCCAGGCTTGCAGCTGGCTCTGCCTCTTTCCTCAGTCCTTGCAGGGACCCTGCAGGCCCGCTCGGGACCCTTGCCAATGGAATTGATATTTGTTCCACTCTGTAGCCTGTGCGGCAGGCACAGCCTGGCACAGAGGACACTCGTTGTATTGGCTGAGCAGCAGCTGTCATTGTGGGGGAAATGCCCAGCCTGGCCCAGAGGGTGGGCCCGGGAAAGGCTGAGGGCAAGGGAGGAGTGACAGGGAGGACGGCCATGAGCAAGGTCTCGGAAGCCCTGCGGGCTGGGAGGAGGACCACCAGGGTGGGAGGACTGCTTCCCTCACCTGTGGCCCTCGGGCCGGGCCCCTTTCCACTCCGGAATAGTGAGATCCCGGGAAAACGTTGTTTATGTGGATTATATCTCTGTGTACCCTATTAGAAATTAAAACTGGTAACATTTTTAAGCATTTAAAATATTTATGAGTGTGTGTGTGAGGAAGATAGTCATGTTTTCCAAAACAAACAAAACAATTAAGGAGAATGGTATGGTTTTATCTTCTTTTCTCTCTCCACTGCGTGACTGAATAGAAGACAGATTCCCTTATCTGCTCTTGCAATCTGGCCCTCGTGGTATCACAGGCCCTAGAAGCCTCCAAAAACCCCACTCCAGAGTCACGAGACTGCAAAGACCAACACTATCTTTGTATTTCAGCATTTCCTAACCCAGAAATAGGTCTGGCCTAGGGGTCCCAAAGGTCCCTGGAGGCCCCGGGGTCACTGGCTGGAGGCTGGGAGGAGAGGGCGATGGCGGAGCCTGTCCCACTGACCCCGTCTGTCCCGCAGGTGTGCTGGCCCTGTGGGTCCTGGTGACGCACGTCATGTACCTGCAGGATTACTGGAGGACGTGGCTCAAGGGGCTGCGTGGCTTCTTCTTCGTGGGCGTCCTCTTCTCCGCCGTCTCCATCGCCACCTTCTGCAACTTCCTCGTCCTGGCCATCACCCGGCACCAGAGTGAGGGCCGGTGCTGGGGGGCGGGGGGGGGGGGGGAGGTTTGGGGAGGTGGCATGGGGTGCTTACATCCAAGGGACGGCAGATCACTTAAAATCCTGTGTCTGTTTTCTCACCGTTAGAGAGGGTTGAATGAGCGTACCCATCCCCTGGGGTGGGAAGGGCTCCGTTGAAGTGCTGAGCACAAAGCACACTGCTGGCTAATTGCAGTACCATGTTGTAGGATGGGAGCGCCCCCTGGTGGCTGCAACCAACAAGAAGCCACAGGCCCTTGTTCCTGACCTTAGGGAATCTGATGTTCAGGCAGGTTCAAGGGCGTGGGACGTGGCCGAGGGTGAAAGTGACAAAAGCAGATGATGCCACACACCTGTGAGCGGCCAGCCCTAACCTTCCCTCACCCCACTGCCCGCAAACCCCGACGGCCGGTCCAGCCTCCATTGGAGGTTGGAGAGGGTGGCCCCAGCCCTGTGGAATGGGGCTGGGAAAGAGGGAAAGGCTCTCTAGCGTAAGGTGACCAGATGTCCCGCGTTTGGTGGGACAGTCCCGATTTTTGGCAAGAAAACGCTGCAGGACAAATTGTTAAAAATCGGGACTTTCCCGCCAAAAGCGGGACGTCTGGTTCACCTTCCTCTAGAGTCACAGCCTGGCTCCTCCCCCTTGCAGGCCTCAAAGACCCCAACAGCTACTACCTGTCCTGCGTTTGGAGCTTCATTGCCTTCAAGTGGGCCTTCCTGCTCAGCCTCTACGCCCACCGCTACCGGGCTGACTTTGCCGACATCAGCATCCTCAGCGACTTCTGAGATCTCTGCACCTTGGGGTCCTCAGGACCTGGACTCAGCTTCTGAGACATCAGGTGGGACTGTCCCACCCCTGGGGCACCCCGGCACCATGGCGGAAAACTCAGCAGGAAGACGTGGGTCTCCCAAGACGCCGTCCCGTCCCCTCTGGGGGAAACCTGGGGGTGGTGGGAGGGGTCAGTTCTGTTGCTTCTCATTAGCCTGGCTGGAGGGAAACTTTCCAAATCTATTTTCTTAGCGCGCAGGGAGGAATCCTTGTAAGGACCAAGGCACCAGTTAAGGGGCACAGAGGCCCTGACCTGTGCCTGGGGGCAGGCGATGTGGTCCCTTCTGCCCCAGGAACTTTCCCTCAGACCAGGGTCGGAACCTGGGAAGAGGAGGTCAAGTGAGGGGTCTCTAAACCCCAGGATCCCGTCCTGTTGTTCCCCCAAGGTCTCGGGCAGAGAATCCAGTGTCCCTGTTCCACCCAGAGGTGGCCTCCCGAGTGTGCTGGTCAGTCATCTCCTTCACCACCCAAGTCCTCCCTCTTACACGCATCACACACCTCAGAGCAGGACCCCCGAATGAGGCCAGGCTAAGGATCTTGGGAAGGTGCTCCTGCCCCCAGAAGGGCTTGAGTAGGGGGCAGCATGGAGCGGGCCAGAAGCACCCCAGATCTGTGCCTACACACCGGCAGCCCTGCATTTCCCCTCGGCCCTCTCACACCTGCCCCTGGTTCCACCCGGCTCACCCCCTGCTATGAGATGCCCCCCTAACTCCTGCCCCTCACCTAGAGCTTGGATCTTTTTTTTTAATCTCCTTTTTGAAGAGTAAAGCTGCTCTCTGCCCACACACTGGCCCAAGGGCCCCCTGACGCGGGAGGGAAGAGGCTGCTGGGACGGGTGTCTTTTTACGTTAGGTTGCCATTTTGCACGGTCTAACCCTTTCCCACCTCAGCTCTTGCCTTACCTGTGTTACTGTCACTTTAGCAGAAATACAGCGACTGTTTGTATCCGACAGCCTCTGGTTGTTTCTTGAGGGGATGTGAGGGCAGCGGGCGGGAGGGCTGGTGTTGCCGGGTCTCTAGTTACCTCGTAATGCCATTTCCTTGGCTCACCGTGTGCCCTGGCGGGCAGGGGAGGGCTGGTGTCTCAGGGGCTGGAGACCCTTCCCCCCGACCCCCCTCTGCATGGGGGAACCCACCAGGCTGACTTTCCTCCTCTGGCTCTCAGCACACCCTGGCCAGCGTAAGGATGCCCATGGACACAGCCTCAGCCAGGACGGATGGGACTTAATGTCTGTCACCCAAGAGGCAGGACAGATGGGAAGGGGACAGAGCCACTTGCCTTCATACTCTCCCAGGCTGTGAGGGCTTGGGGCCTTGGGGCCAGGTCTGAGGTAATGAGGCTCTACTCCCGCTGGACAAGCCCGGCCCCCTCAGAGCCACAGACAGGCGCTGGCAGCCCTGGCACCGTCACCTTGGCATGCGCCGAGCTTGCCCGGGCCTGTGGGCCTCGCCGGTTCTCTCTCTGAGGCTCAGTATATGCTTAAGAAGTCACGGTGCGTTAGAGCAGGAACCATGAACAGGGCCTATTTCTGGAGCCTTTGACTGGTAAACAGAGGCCCCTGGAGGTGACATGACACACCTGACCTCCCAGCTGGGACTGGAACCAGGCACGTCTGATTCACAGCTCTTTGGGGATGGCTTAGTGAGCAGGTTCTGAACAGCTATATTACTCCCCTACCCCCCACCCCACAACCTCTGTGGACTCCGCCCAAAGCTGCCACCTCCTATGACCCCAGGTGGGGCAGGCAGGGCAGCTAGTGTGTTCAGAGTGGATTCTTCCTGCAGGGCAGCTCCACGAGGGGCAAGGCGCCGGAAGGGGCTGGTCCCTTCTCCCCAGCGAACAGATGCACCCTGAGCTGTGGCGCTGTGTGCCCACTGCCCACCCCACCCCTGTCCTGTGCACCTTTAAAGCAAATAAAACATTTATTGTTCAGATTTTTTTCCATTTTTTTTTCTCTTTTTTACAAAAACATGCATACATACACAGGGTATGGTGGTCCTAGGGAAGACATGTACACACGCACACACACTCGCACGCACACACACTTGCACACACACACACACACCGTCCTTCTTGGCCCCAGAAGCCTTGACTTTGCCAGTCTGCCTCCCCTCCCCCATGTCTTGCATCTACTCTCCCACCCCCTTCCCCCTCAGCCAAGCTAGTCCTACGTGGGGCAGGAGTCAGCTGGGGTGGGAGACCCCCCAGAACGAGGACACTCCTGGAGGAGTCAGTGACCGAGGGATCCCTTGGGGTCACCCCGTGCTTCTGAGGGGAGATGAGGGTTTGGCACCATTGGATCAGGAAGCACAGAACTCCGAGAGCACCCATCTCCTCCACCAGGGCACTGAGAGGGCCGGCCCCAGAGGGGGCCTGCCGGTGACCGCTCTGGCGGGAGCTTTGTCTCCCTGCCCGGTGGTGGCGTGGGGTGTCAGGGTGGCTTCCGTAGTCATTTGAGTAAACAGGCAAGAGGAGGGACTCCCCCTGCCCTCGGGGATATGGGACCCCTTGGCTCCTCCTATCCGTCTCCCTCCCCTCCACTCCAGCCCTCAGAGCCCAGGAAGGGCTGCCCCGGCTGAGGCCAAGTTCACATTTCTGTGTGGAGCCTGGGGCTGTGTGCAAAGTCCAGGGTCTACAGCGCCAAGAATAGTGGTTATGGGTGGGCCTGACTGAGCCAGTCCTCCATGCAGTCCTGAGGGATGGGGGCCCAGCAGGGCCTGGACCCCACATGGGCAGACTCTGTGTTTCGGAGAGCCCTCCATGGGGTTAGCCGGCTGCCCTGCCTGCCTCCTCAGGGTCCTCTTTGGTCCCTATCCTAGACCCGGGGGCCTTTTCAGTCTCCTCGGAGTGACCGCCAAGGGACTGTTCTCTGGCCACGGCTACCTGCCCAGAGGACCTCTGGGAACCCCAGGAGCAGGGGCTGTTGCCAGAGGTCGGAAGAGAACCAGATCAGAAGGGCAGGGTAGGCCAGCAGAACCATTCCAAAGCCTCAGAGATTCATAGGTTCCTCCTCCTCCACCAGCTGCTCCGAGGGCCTGGGGGAGAAGCATTGGGGTTATGGGGGGCCAGGGGCTGCAGAAAGGGCCTCAGCCCGCCTTCCCCAGAAGACCAAGGAGGCTGGGCTGGCATCTGGGATCCTCGGGTTGGAAGGGCTCAGGGGGTGGAGAGGCTGTGAGCCGGGGGTCGGGATTACCTCTCTTCAGCCAGGATGCCAACGGAGAGGGATGCCAGGGCAGTCACTGCCTCCACTTCCTCTGCGTCGGCTCCTGGCACCCTGGGCACCCAGGACTCCGGACAGGAGGCCAGGCGCTGCATGCAGCCCCAGTATTTACCTGAGACAAGAAGCCTCATCAGGAAGGGTTGGGGAAAACCAGTCCTCCAGCTTGCCTCCCCACACAGCCCAGGCCGGTACTGAGACCGAATATCTCGGGCCCGGCTCCAAGAGTAGCGGCTGTCCTCAATCCGGGGTCAGTTCTCTCACTTGCCTCTGCCCTCAAGGCACAACCTTCCTCGACTGGACCCCCACAGCCCTGATGTGGGGAGCAGAGCAGATTCAGCATGGCTATGAGGGGGCCTCACAGGTGCCCAAGCCATTCTCCCTGCGTTGGCTGAAAGGTTGCCTCTAGCCTGTTCCCATAGGTACAGGGTTCCTGAGAGCATCAGCCCCAAGCCATGGTCAGCCCAGGACACAGGAAAGGAGCAGATGGCCAGTCCAGCAATGGTCAGCCCAGGACCCCGCAAAGGGAGAGCTGACTGTCACCGCGGGGTGGCCATCGGCTAGCCACTCCCCCGCCCCGGGCTCCCACGTGGACATGCCCACCCTGCCTGCTGTTGAGAGAGGTCGGGTCCAGTGAACACGCCCAGAGCCTGGCACAAAGTGCCAGCAACATCTTTGTGTTACCTGCATGCCCTTACTGAGCCTGAATGCAAGGACACATAACTTATTCCTTTTTGTATCCCTCACATAGATCATGGGTTTTTACACAAAATGCTCCCTAGACACTGAGCTGAAATGGAGATTTTAAAGTGCATTCCAAATGTGGGATTATCTTAAGACCCAGCCCCCCAAACGGGCAGAGCTTGAGGACCCTGTGGCTGGGACTGAGGGTTGTGGTGGGAACCAGCACTGTTAGCAACAAGCCTGAGTGTAGCTGTTCACTGGCCCTGGCCTGGGGCTGTGGCTGGAGATCAGAGCTCAGTCCTGCCTGGAGGAGGCAGCCACTGTCGGGAGGTCCCAAGGGGAGGCTCTGAGGGTACCCACACTTGGGGTGCTGCCCCACCATGCGGCTAAGGTAACTATAGGAAGCCTATTCCTGACCAGCCCCCAGGTTCTTGGCAGAGGAAGCCCTGGTGACTGAGAATAGCACCCCTCAGTCCTCCCAAGTCTGGGGGGCCAGCGGGTGTCCTCTCCACACTCACTGTGCACCCGGATCACAGCTTCCAGAGATCGGATGGCGTTGAGGTTGGGTTTCTGTTTCCAGCCTTTTTCTGCGAGGGGATCGACCTACGGAAGAAAATAGTACATCAACCACCAGTCTTGGCGACCCATAGCCCAGGTCCCCCCACGCCAAGGGCCCTGGCTTTCTGGTTTCTGGGCACAGACGCATGTGCCTCTGGCTCTGCCTAGGGAAGGAGGTTCTGGCTCCGAACCTCACCTGGGGAAGAGGCACCCACTCTGTCCCCCTTATTCCAGGCCCGGCCATCCCGCCCTATCTGTGAGCCGTCAGGGATGCACCCCATCTGTCCGCTCTTTGGGGCAGTCCTGCGAGTGCCAGGCTCCTGTTCCCACAGAGGCTGGATGGGGGCAAGCAGCTCACCTTATTGCCCAGGAGAGCAGCCACACAGGCCTCGGAGGCGTCACAGATGGCTGTGAGGTCGTGGCCGCCCTCCAAGGCCAGCACCACTGCACCTCCGGCCAAGCTCATCAGCTGCTGCGTCATGTACCCAAAACCTAGGCATTGGAGGAAAGGGGAGGAATGGGAGGGAGAAGGGTGGAAGAGAGGTGGACCTTCCCACCTATTATGTCCCTGCTTGCTTCTTCCCTTATAAATAACTAGAGGCCCAGTGCACGACTTTCGTGTACTAGGGCGAGGGTAGAGGAGGGTTCCCTCAGCCCAGAATGCACTGGCAGACATCCCCCAAGGGGTCCTTAGTGCTGCCTTGGAGGCGGGAGAGGCCCCCATCACGGCCTGTGAGCCCAGCTTCTGGCTGACCAGCGCTCCCCTATGGAAGCGCACTGACCGCCAGAGGGCAGCTCCTGCATTGAGCATCTGCCCCCTGGTGGTTAGTGCGCGTCATAGCAATTGGTCGATCCGCAGTTGGGTGGATTTGCATACTAGGGCTTTATTACACAGGATGATGCAGATGCAACCATCTCTATCCTCCCAAGCGCTTTCACATGGAGTCCCCTGTAAAACCCATGAGTATGCCTCCCTCGGGGCTCAGAGAAGTGAAGGTCCATGCACAAGGATTCACAGCTAGTAAAAGGCAGGGCTAGGACTTGAACTGGGGCATTGACTCCAGCGACATCCTTTTCACTGAGCCTCACCGTCTTTTCTTTCTGTCCTGCAGGCCCCGTGGCCCAGCAGGCTAACCGGGCTCCCTTAATTCTGAGACCACTGCTCCCCTATCTTCCCTCAAGAGAAGCTGTAAGCCCAGCCTGGGATGACACACTTGGGGTGGAGGGGGATGGGGGGGGAGTCCTATGGCTGAGCTTCCTGTGTCCCCAGGGTGTGACTTAGTTAAGCTTTCCATGGTGAATGGAGCTGGCCGTGAGAAAGGGCCCTGGCTATGCTGGGCTAGGAGAACCCAGGGAATCCCAGGGCCAGCCGCCACCCCCCAGTCCTCACACTCATGGTCCCGGCCGGACCCAGCCGCCCTCCCCTCCCAGCCCCGCCCTCACTGCCCTGGGCTGGGCCCTCCTTACATTTTGCGGAAACATGGTAGCCACCCAGGGGGGCCGGGTGACCCTCGGCAGCATCAAACCCAGCCGACACCAAGACCAGGTCCGGAGAGAACTCGCGGGCGATGGGCATCACGACTATCCTGTGAGGGTGTAGGAAGGAGGGCTCACCACACGGCGGCAACCTTGCCGGGCGGAGGCCGAGGGCCCCCGTGGTGCCAGCTCTCCAGCACCGTTACTGGGGGGTAGCCTGCTATTAGGACTCCAAGATACCCAATCTCCCAGGAGGATTAATGGATCCCTCTGCCTGCCTTTTGTTTGTTTAATCCTCACCCGGGGATATTTTTTCCATTGACTCTTAGTGAGTGGGAGGGAGAAACATTGACGTGAGAGACACATCCATTTTGTTGCCGACTCCCCCTGCCTCCCCCAACTCCCGTCAAACCTGCCACCACGTTATGTAACCTTTGGCCAACACTCTAACCACTGAGCCAAACCGGCCAGGGCCCCTCGGAATTCTTTGACCTTAGCTTCTGCACAGGAATGTGCAAATTACCCTGACATAGCCTAAGGGCTCAGCCACCAAGCATGCTTAACTGGTACAAGGCAGGAAGGAGCCAAGATGGGGTACCAGAGGGGATGAAAGAGTGTGTGTGTGTGTGTGTGTATATAGAGCGCAGTGGTCAGAGCTACAAAAAAGGTACAGGTCATTGAGCCTCAAGGACTAGAAATTCTCAGTACTTAGTTGCCACCACACCTCGCCATTCACCACCCAAGAGCTGACCAGGGTGCCTAAACTGAGATCCTGGGCTACCAGATGTACTCTCTCCTCATCAGCCCCTGCCAACCCCTACAGCTGCCTCCCTACAGCTGCCTCCCTACATCCCTGGCCCACCTCTAGGGTCCATTTTGGTGTTTTCCAAAGCCCTGAGCTACGGGCAGGGCTTCTACAGAATGAGCTCTGATGGGAAATGCCTCAGGAAAGTATTTGGAGCCCTATTTCCAGATTTCCTTTTCCCAAACGGAGTGGTGGAGCCCAGGAAGAACTATATAAGGGCTCTTGCACAGGGCCCAAAGCTGCTCTTCCAGAATGGCTTTTCCTAAACAACTCCCCCAATACGGACATCGTCTGCTTTCCCTCTTTCTCTGCAGTTTAAGTTTCTCACCTCTGCACAAAAGCCCACCTCCTCCAGACAGCTTTCTTGGACTGAATGCTCTGCTCACTCCACCTGCCTGGCTCCCAGCACTCAGCTCAACACTGGCTCTTGGTAACAAATGGCTTTACAAAGTGCCCTTTGACTGTTTCATTCCATTTCCTGTCTTCGCATTGGAGCTGGAGGCTACTAGAGGCCAGTATAACAGTGCCGTTGCTTTTGTTTGCCTCGGTTCTGGGGCTGGCTTATAACGGCTGGTAACTGAATGAGGACAGGCTGACAAACCAACTGCCTGCCTCCAGCCTGGGGCTGCTGGGAAGAAGGGCAGGAGAGGGTAGCCTTGATGCACCAGGCCTCAGAGCACTTACCTGAAGGCAGCCAGGTACTCAGGATCCCCCATCGGGGGGTCCAGGCCTCCGGCCCAGGCCACGTTAACGTTGAAGCCCTCGCCACTGCCGGCTCCCACCTGGAAATCAGGACGCAAGAGAGACGTGAGGAGAGCAGCGTCCCAGGAGAGGAATCCCAGGATGTCAGCTCTGCAAGACCAGTTCATGTACCCTCTTCACTTTCAGGTGGAGAAATAGGACCAGAGAGGACACAAGCTATCCAGGATCACACAGCTGGTTGGGACAGAGGCAGAGTGGGTCACGGGAGAGAGTCAATGGGGCTGGAAGAGGCAGACCCGACACGTGGTTACCTCCTCCACAGCCCCGCTGCCCGGGAAGAAGTTGCCGTCGTCATGGCGATGTAGGGAGATGTAGAGCACACGGGGGTCCTCGTAGAAGGTGTGCTGGGTGCCATTGCCGTGATGGACGTCCTGTGGGAGACGGGCGGTGGATGAGGGAAGGTATGAAAGCGGAGAGATGGAGAGCGGAGCAGGTCGGAAGGGTTTGGGGGCTAGAGACCCGTTTGAGGGTCAGGACCCCTAGACAGGGGGTGAGGAAAGTGGAGACCCTAGAGCCAAACTGTTGAGTAATACATGCATGGGCCCCCCTCTGAGCCTCAGTCTCTCCGTGTGCGCAGAGATGTGTGTATTATAACACGCTGAATGGGGGTGGCTATCATATGAGAGCCTGAGGGGAGGAAGCCGGCCTGACCGTGAGAGCGTGTGGGAGTGGATTAGTGGAGGAGAGGGCAGAGTCCAGAATGATACATCAGGAAGTCTCACTGCTGTGTCGTGTCCAAGGTCATGGAATGATGCGGGTGATGAGAAACAAACGCAAGTAGCGAGGGGCAGGCACGTGAGGCCCATCGCCATCCATCCCAGGGAAAGCAGTGGCTCTGCGGTTGGTAACTCACGGCCACGCACGGGTGCACGTGTGGAAAGCTCCACTGTCCTCAGCTTCTGTGCAGGCATGTCCCATGCACAGGTGCCAACGCAGAGTGGGGCAGCTTATACTTAGATGCACATTCGCTAGCACTAAGCAACTGGTTTCAAATCTGGCTCAGGACAGACTGGGTGTGTGGCTGTATGCAAGTTACTGAACCTCTCTGTGCTCACTTCCTTTGGTCTGAAAACCTGTTTACAGTCAGGAGTGACTACGTCACATGAGAAATCCATCAGTGTTTGGATGCGATTAGTGGAATGTTAACGTTATCTGCTGTCACTATGACTGTCACTGCCTATCGGGGAAATGCAGAAATCAGAGCTGCAGAAAGAAGCCAACAGAGGCCAAAAGACAGCACTCAAATGGTTCCTTCCTCCCAGTGTGGGCGTCTGTTATGACTTCCCAGACACCGTCTTCTCCCTTTTATACAAGGGGGAAACTGAGGCTCAGGAGGCCAATGCCAAGCTAGGACATGGAGCCACATTTCCTGACGCCGGGCTCAGGGCGCTCTCCACGGGGCTCTGGGTTTGAGCGGCCAGGACATACCCAGTCCACAATGAGGATCCGGCCAGCCTTGCCCTGTTGTTGCAGCTGCCGGCACGCGATGGCCACGGAGTTGAAGAAGCAGAAGCCCCTGGGAGGAGGAAAAGGCAGTCCTGACAGCCCATCCTTCCTGCGCCTCCACCTGTCCGGCCTCACCTCTCCCCCTGCTCCTGGCCTGGTCCAGCCCCCAAAGGTTCTCCCCGCCTCGGCCTTCCCCAGACCTTACATGGCTGTGGAGCGGTCCGCATGGTGTCCTGGGGGCCGGACCACGGCAAAACCATTCTGGAAATGGAAAGAATGCTTATCAGCCGCAGGGCCAGCCTTCTGACCCCAGCACCATAAACATGCCCCAGCCCCAGCGCCTCCCGGGCCAGGATGGGTCTGAAGGGCCCCGTGCTCAGCTGCAGGCTTGGCATCCTCTGCTTCCAGGCTGGATGTGAACAGAGAACACCCCGCCCGGTGTGTCCTGGCTGTTCGCACTTCGCAATAACAGCTGTTTGTTGGGCCAGAACTACGTGCCTGGCACTGTGCTAAGCTCTTTATAAACACTGGATTTCACCCTCATAACATCTCCATGAGATAAGCATTATTATTAGCTCCAGCTTGCAGACAGGAGAAATCTGACGTTTAGGTGGGTTAAGCAATGTGTGCAGAGTTGCCTGGTTGTAAACGGTGGATGTAAGAATTCTAAACCCAGTTCTGTGCCCTTAACTGCAAAGACCCACCAAAGGGCTTTGACACTGAGGACACCGGGACCACCTTGAGCTGGGCTCCTAAAGTGTGTGTGTGTGTGTGTGTGTGTGTGTGTGTGTGTGTGGAGAACCTCAGGACAAGCCCCTGTAAGGTGTCCAGCCCAGGTACCAACCCAGTCTATAAAACTTCAGCATTGCAGGGGTGTGTTTGTTGGGTGGCAGGGGTGGCGGGGGGTGGGGAGGGGGGAGAGAGAGAGAGCCCGGCTGATGTGGCTCAGTGGTTGAGCATCAACCTATAAATCAGAAGGTCATGGAGCACATGCCTGGGTTGCAGGCGTGATCCCCAGTAGGGGGCATGCCGGAGGCAGTCGATTGATGTTTCATTGGTGTTTCTATATCTCTATCCCTCTCCCGTCCTTTCTCCAAAACTCAATTAACAAAAAACTTCAACACTGCAAAGAAACAATCTGCCAATGCACGGAGGTCCAGAGATGCCTGCAACTCGCCTACCGGCACACGTTGGGTCTCTGTTAAATGACCCTGTGTGATCAGGACCTGTGTCTCTTGGGAGACCAAAGGTTCAGGGTCACAGTGGTGGACTCTCCACCAAGAAACATGAACCTACGGTTCGAATCTCATTTTGGTCCCCAGAGCTCTTGATTCCCCTTCCAAAACCCCGTGGTGCTATCCGAGAGAAAGGAGATGTTGGGGCTCACTCTGGGTCTGGCCCCCGTGCCGCCCCATTCTGCTACCTCCTTCCGTGGCGTGCCCACCTTCAGCTCGCGGGAAGCCACTCTGAAGGCCAGATCGGTGACGCTGCCGGCCGCCCAGCGGGCTGCGTTGGAGGAGTGCAGCTCGTTCCAGATGGTGTCAGGGTCCACCTGCGGGGGCCAGAGTGAGGGCCCGCATCATCCCAGGCTTTCCACAGGAGCCGGGGCCCGTGGGTGGTGCCCACCCCGTGGCCAGGACCCCAGGGGCAGGGAGCTGGGCAGACAGTGCTGCCTCCCCAGTGCCCCACCACCCAAAGGCAAGGCCTCCTGTACCCCCAGTCCCAGCAGGACGTCTCCTTCCCCGCTTCAGTCCGCATCACCAGCCCGTATCTGGCCAGCGCTCCGCTGGCGGCACGGCGCCTGCCTCCCCGCCAGAGGAGGGGGCGTGGCGTTACCTGGGCGGGACTTGGGGTTTGGGCCTGGAGGGGGTTTTGAGCCCCAGCCGGCTCTGCTCAGGCCCTGCGGGACGTCGGAGCTCGAGGGGCCGTCTGCACCTCTGTCTTCCACTCGGGGCCCCTAGCCCAGGCTGGGAGGCCCCCCAAACCCAGTCCCTGGGCCTCAAGGCTAGGGAGGGGCCGGGCGGCATGATGGGGAGATGGGGAGGGCGAGGCGGACCAAGAGAGGCGAGGAAGGCAGAGAGAGTCTCAAGAGGCTGGAGGAAGAGAAAGAGAGACAGAGAGAGAGGGAGAGGAGGGAGGAGAAAACAGAAGCAAAAACAGTTGGAAAAATCAGAAAGTGGCAAGAAATGGGAAGTTGTGAATAGGGCGCTGACTGGCTCCCCACAGTCCCCCCTATAGCTACAGCTCCCCTTTCCCTCCGGAACTGGGCCTCCATCCCCATCCTCCTCCACACCTGGCCGGGCAACCACCACAGGGACCTTTCAGGCAAGGCGGGAACTGCTAGGGAGGCAGGAGGCCCCCCACGCAGGGTGAGGAGGGAGGGAGGAACGTGGGGAGTGGGAGGGACGTGCCTGAGCCCCCAAGGACACTGGAGGCACCCACAGCCCCAGCCCAGGCAGCCCCGACTCTGCCTGGGGGCTCCCTCAGTGAATGGCCAGTCCCGACCCCTAGGGTCATATGAAGGGAGATGAACTCGGCCTGCTCTCTGAGCCTCCCTCGACATTTACCAAGCGCCTTCTCGGTGTGAGGCTCAGGCTCCACACTTAGGAGATCCTGGTGGGCTGGCTGAGGACAGATCTACCCATAAGGCACTGCTAGCCAGCAGAGGGGCATTATGGGACAGTCCCTGGCCCACTGGGTCTGGCAGAATCACAAGAACAAGCAGGCAGGGCGGGGCCCGGGGGAGGGGGGGGTGGACAGGAGGCCTGAGAGCCCGTGGCGATGCCTGCCCGAGAACCCCGGGCACACTTACCCCAACCCCGCCACAGGGCAGCATCACAAATATCCGCTGTGCCAGGAGCCCTGCGAGAGAGGCCGGGGTGTGGGAGCTGAAGCCTCGCAGCCCCTGGCCTGGCCCCGGATCGAGGGCCGGGGTGGGTGCATGGGCGAGGGGATGGGCAGCAGAGGGGCCAGGGGAGGTGAGGGGATGCCAAGGATGCTGGGGGACAGGCTGGCGGAGCTGGGACCGGAGAGATTTGGGATGGGTAGGCGAGAGGAGCCGGCGGAGGGACGAGGGTCCCAGACACCGCGGGCCCTACCTGCCAGCTTCCCGTTGTCCAGTTTGAGGCGGCTGAGCGGGTTGGTGCCGTACAGGTGCACGTGCCGCTCGGAGTGCACCGACTGCAGCTCCTCCAGGGAGGCCTTCCGGCCTCGGAGACACTGAGGGAGGACCACGGAGCTCCTGAGGCCCCGCCCTGCCATCACCACCACCCGCCTGCTCCTTCATCTCCCGCTGGCTCTAGGCCCCCGGCCCCGACCTCCCCGATCCCACAGCCCCCACCCACCTCCTCACCTCGCACTGGCCTCGGAGGCCCCGCTCCTGCAGCCGGGACCAGATGCTCTGGATGCGGCCGGCGTGCTCCGGGTGCCTGCTGTTGTCGCCGCAGGAGCACTGGTGCTTCAGCATGACCGAGTCATACACCAGCCCTGGGGGTGGGGGTCAGAGTCAGGGAGTCCACAGTGCCCCCACCACCACATGGAACCACGCTTGGCACCCACACCCCACACCCCATCCGATACTTTGGTCCTTCCCACGAATTCACACTCCCGGCTGCTCATCCAGGCAGCCTCACCTCCTCACATGCACACCCACACAGCCCCACCTTCCTGACACACGGGTCCTCCTCACATGGCCACTACCTTTCCACATCAAGAACTCAGAGCCCAACAAAGGGAGGCCCGATGTTGGGGTCTCACACTGGATGTATTGACTCAAACAGGAGGAGTCAGAGGAGAAAGAGTCCCACAGGAACTCCAAAAACTGGGAGCTGGGAGGCCCCGAGTGATACGGGGCCATGTGACAAGACAGGTGCCGTTTGGGGAGGATCTGTTTCAGCTTGACCAGCGGACACCGAGGAAGGCCCCGTGCGCCGTCAGTGGGATGGTCCCTTTCAGCAAGTCTAGGGCATCAGGGTCTTCAGAATTCTCACACCACAACCCAGCGATGCCACTCCCTGAGACTGCCGCTCGGAAAACAGTCCCAGGGATGAATGAGGTTTAGGCACAAGGAAACTCAAATGAGGAGTTTGAGTAACCATCTAACTGCCCAACCAGTAAGAAATCTATGTAGTAATAAAAGCCTAAGCAACCTTGGGGTGGAAAGACCAGAACCACCAGTCGCTATGATGTGCACTGACCACCAGGAGGCAGCTGATCAATGCAGGAGCTGCCCTCTGGTGGTCAGTGCACTCCCACAGCGGGGAGTACTGCTCAGCCAGAAGCCAGGCTCATGGCTGGCCAGCATAGTAGCACTAAGGAGCAGAGAGCCCAGAGGTAAGGAGCAGTGAGTGGGCAGGAGGTTAAGGAGCCAGGGGTCCTGGACTGAAAGGTCCCGGACTGAAAGGGCGCAGGCCAGGCTGAGGGACGCCTGTGCCCTGGGCCTCTAGTCTTTAAATAAAAATAAAGTACTATGCTGGAACACTATAAAAACCTCATTTCTGAAGATTAATTATATCACAGTGTTTGTAATATGTTAACTGAGTAAAGGGGGGTATTGTGTCTGTGATACATGTTGTGTGTTTACAGACGGCCAGGACAAAGAACAGAGCAGTGTTTAAGAGTGGATACCTCTGGGTGGTGGGAGACAGAGTGGCGATTTTTATGCTTTTTCTGCATTTTTCAAAACTTCTACAATGCTTTAAAAAAAAAAGGTATTTTTTATTGATTTCAGAGAAGAAGAGAAAGGAAGAGAGAGATAGAAACATCAATGATGAGAGAGAACCATTGATTGGCTGCCTCCTACACGAACCCTCCCTGGGGACCAAGCCTGCAACCCAGGCATGTGCCCTGATCAGGAATCAAAATGTGATTTCCTGGTTCATAGGTCGATGCTCAACCACTGAGCCACGCTGGCCGGGCAAATCTTCTCAAATGCTTTTGAGTTTTCTCCAAGCAGAGCGAAAATATTAGATGACGTTTTTGAAAGGCCTGAACTAGCTGTCAGGAGCTCCCGACAATGCTTAGCCCCGTCTGCCAGCTTGCTATTTGACCACAAGCGTGTCACCTTAGATTTCCTGAGCCTGGTCTTCTCGTGTGTAAAACGAGAACCGCCACCGATTCCCCTGCTTCACAGATGCTGTGTGGGCCTCACGAGACCAAGAAAGTGCGCTGTGGCCTCGTCCTGAGCGGTGCTGCGATGCAGACAGGGACCCGTGCCCCAGCCTCTGTGTGTCCGAGCCCTTCCTTCCGCCCCGCTCTAACCCAGGACTGACCTGTGGTGAAGGGCAGGGTCCTGGCGGGGGCCTCTGAGCTGGGCAGGACGCGGGCCTGGCTGGGGGGCTCCGGCGTTGGCAGTGAGGCAGGTGCAGCCGGGGAGGACTGTGTCCTGGACAGGAGCCGGTGGCCGCCCTGGGCCGGGGAGAGCAGCACGGAGTCCCCGGTGCCGACCCGTGGCAGCCGTCCGGCCAGGCGCTGATGCTCCCACAGAAACACCTGTGGAACACGGGGCCTCAGTCTCCCGGTTCTCAAGATCCTGGCTTCCGAAACCTCCCAAAAGGCCCCTTTTCTGGCGTGATTGCAGGGGTGATGCCTCTAGTCTTGCCTCCCAGCCAGGTTCCGGCCTTTGACTCTAAGCTCCCTACTCTCACTAGGCCCCAAAGGTCTGCACCTCAGGCTGACCAGCCCACTCCCCCGAGCTCCCTGGGCCCTCGGGACTCCAAAGCCAGAACCCAGATGAGGGATCGCAGGGACAAGGACCGTGCACCTGCCCGAGGACACGGGGACCTGCGTGAGGCACTGTTACCACAACTGATGGCCCCACTCAGAGCTGTTCCCTGCACTGATATCCCATCTCCCTGCCTCCCATCTATGCCAGGCCCCCGCGCTGACTACACCGCTGAGGGGCACTCGGGCACGGCCATACCTGCTGGTGCTGCTGGAGAACAGGGCCTCTGGCTTCATGCTGCCCCGAGCTCGAGCCCCTGCAGGCCAGGCTGTCATCCCCCGGGGGCCCCACTCCCCCGCCATCCGCCTCCAGGTCCTCAGCCGAGGGTATCTGCCGTAGGCGGGGCTTCTCGCTCTGCTTGGCTGACCTCTGGGGAGGGAAGACGCCCGCTGAGAAGCCATGCTGGAGGGCGGAGGGTGGGGTGGGACGTGGCGGGCGAGGTGGCCATTTACTTGGCTGGGACGCCACTGGCCAAGTGGCTCTCGGCCCTCCAGATCCCGGCCCTTCCAAATCCTCCCTTCTTCCTTCTTGCTGCCCCGTGGGCCCAGTGCAGCAACCCCTTCCACCTCCCCTCCCAGTCCCCCTCACCTTGATCAGCTGGACGTGAGGGTTGAGCCGCTCCAGGCGGGGCTGCAGGGGGCCCAGTGATGGGGGGGCGGTGGCGCTTGGGGGCAAAGGCTCTGAGCGGGTCCTGCTCAGCGGCCAATGGAGGCCTGACCCAGAGAGCCGCTCGGTGGTCAGTAAGGACTGGGCAAAGTGGAAGGGCAGGGGCCCAAACCCGGGCACTGGAAAGAACGTGGGGGGGTGGCGTGAGGAGGGAGCCGTGGAGAAGAACGGGAAGAAGCAAGGGCACGGGTGGGGGGCGGGACTCAGCGGGGAGGTGCACAGAAAGACGGGGCAGCGGAGGGGGGTCGGCCCTCACCGGGGTGCAGGGATCCAGCCCCTCCCCTGGGGAAGCAGCAGGACTCACCCGTCAGCAGGGGGGTGTGAGAGACTGAGGGATCCAGGAGGAGAATGGGCTGCAGACGAGAGGGCAGGGTGCCCCCAGCCTCGGAGTCCAGGCCGTGGGGCAGGAAGAGGGGAGCATGGGGGCTGCCTAGGACTGGCCCCCGAGGGCCCAGAGTTGGATGGGTCCTGCGGTCACCGTCAGCCTGGGGGAGAGGCGGGAGGGGTCACGGGGGGGCAGGTTCCAGCAGAGAGAGCGGCGAAGGCGATGGGCGAGGCAGCGGAAGGGAGTAGAGGAAGCTGGGGAACTTGGCATGTGTGAGGGCGCCACAGCCACTCACCCTGGCAGGGGCTGGCAGGCCCAGCGTGATTGCGGGCAACAAGGACACTGTCGGCAAGGCGAACGGGGCCAGAGAGGTCTCCTGCCTCCGCAGCCGCTGGCCCAAGAGCGTCTGCCATGGGGAGCAGGGGTCACTGGCCCCAGACCTCCACCCCGGGGCACGCCTTCCCCGGAACACCCAGCCCCGGCAGCCCCGGCAGCCCGGCAGCCCCGGGGCCCCTGCTGAGAGGAAGACTGAGCCCCAGAACTGCCCCCGAGAGTCCACCCCGCAGGGCCTTACCTCCGAGCCCAGGATGGGGTTGGGGCCGTGCTCGCTGTCATTGGGAGAGCTGCACCCTGACGCAGGTGTGCTGCTGCTACTGGGGGAGGAGTCTGGGGAGCAGGAGGGGGTTCGGGGGAGAGGGAGGCACGGTCAGAGGCCCGGCAGTAGCCAGTAGCCAAGAGGGCCGCCTCTGCTTCCTGCTTCCCTCCCAGGAGGGCAGGAAGGAGGCAGGCCATCACGAGTCACCGGGCCTTTGCACGCTCTCTGAAGGCCCCTCTTCTGGCTCATCCCTGGCCAGTGTGCACCGGTGGTAACCCTGAGGAAGGGACCCAGTCACCCCTGCCTGCACCCGGGCCCCCCGGGCCCTCACCTCCGAGGGTCTCGGCAGGCCGCCGCCGGAGGCTGGGAGGGGCGCTCTCCTTTCTGAGCAGCGGGTTCTTCCTCCGCTCCAGCGACTTCTTGGGCTTGTAGCGCAGCTTCAGGTTGGGCTCAGAGACTATGGGAGCACCGGCATCATTCCTTGGCCCCACACCCAGCCTCCTCCCCCCTGCCCATCAGCCCTCCCTCCCAGTCACCCCGCGCCCAAGGCCTTTCCCCCAAGGCCTTCCCCCCCGCCCCCCGACTCCCAGAAGGGTCCCCGTCGGCCCGTCACACTCACCTGTCTTACGCAGGGGGTGGTGCTCTGGCGGGTCGCTGGGCAGGCTGGGCACAGGAGGCAGGAAGCTGCTGAGCATGGAGCGGGCAGCTCCTTCCGTCTCCAAGGGCTCCAGAGTCCTGTGGGGTGAGTGCCACGGCCGCTTCAGAGGGATGGGGGTGCCTGGAGGCCTGGCAGCAGCCTCATTCCACAGAGGCCCCTTCCTCAGCATGGCTGCCGGACCGGCCAGGGGAGGCGGCAGCCAGCAGGGTGGGCAGTGTGGGGCTGGCAGGAACAGGGGCCATCTCCGGGTGGCAGCAGCGGGCCACCCACCCTACCAGCAGCCAGGGTCCCGGACCCATTGGGGACCGTGTCCCCGGAGAGGAACCTGCTCTAGGAACCAGGGTATTTTGGTGCTTAGGGGAGACACAAACCAGAGAAGGGATTTGTGTGAAGAAGAAAGCCAGTGTGTGCACAAAGATAGGAGCCTCGGGTGGGGGAGAGACGGAGTGGGGAGGTAACTAAAGAAGAGAGGAGGGCAGGTGTCAGTTGGGAGAGGGAGCCGGGCAGGAATTACGGAGGGAGGTGAGCATAGGATCAGGTGATCAGCAGCTGGGAGAGGGTAAGTGAGCGCTCACAGGTGGACTGACAGGGAGGCCAGGGCAGGGTCGGGAGGGAACAGGTGGGCGTTACCTGTAGGGAATGCTGGGGCTGCTGGGATGGACTGTCCTCTCTAAGGCTGCCTGCTGTTTCTTCAGAATCACCTCTGCCAACTTCTGCTTGACTACGCTGCTGGCCACAGCGCCTGGGGGGTGGGGGGGAGCCATGAGTGGGGCTGGAGTGGGTGGACAGGTGCTCTGCCTGCACATTTTCTGCCCGTTGCCTTTCCACTCCCTTAGTCTAGTACAAGGTGTCCCAGGATTCCTCAGGCAAGAGCCAAGCCCAAGGCCCCACCTCAGAGCCCCCCGCCCCCATTTCTAGCCCACTTGCTAGTGCATTCACAGACAGGGCCCAGCAAGCAGAGGGAGACCTGAGCTGGCGTCACTACCACCCCAGCCCTTCTGTGCCCAGGTGGGTGGGCCATGGAGACAGGCGGGAGGCTCTGTCCTTACTCCGCTTGCTCTTGTCCTTATGGAGAAGCTGCCGCAGCTCTTGCTCCTGCTGCCCCATCGGCAACTCGGGCATCGGCGTGTCCATGGAGAGCTGTGGGCAGGGCTGGCCGCCCGGGAAGGGGCAAGGCGTTAGGGGCTGAGACGGGGCCTGGGGGGAGGCTGAAGGGAGCGAGGGGGCTTGGGAGCCGGGCTCGTGTCTTTACCCTCATGGGCTCCACGGAGCGGTGCTGCTGCAGGCCCGCCAGGAAGAGGTGGTGGTGCAGGTGCTGGGGGTGCTGCAGGGCCAGCAGCGCGGGCTCCAGTGGGGGCTCCACCGGGGGCCGCTGGCCCACCCGCAGGTCCATAGGCTGGGGCTGAGGGCCTGGCGTGTCTGCGTGGGGCCTGGGGCAGCCTGAGGACACACAGAAGGGAAGCAAAGTCGGCTGAAGCCTCTGTCTGCAGGGGCGGGTGACAGCCCCACGGCCTCCTTCAGGGCTCACTGGACTCAAAATAAAACATGCGTTAGGGGCCTTTTGCTCATGCCATCCTCACCAGGGTCCTAGGAGGTAGGTAGCTTCAACTGCATTTCACCCATGAGTAAGGAGATGACCTCAACTGTCCAGGGTGGGTCTGTTGCTTGTGGGGTGCGAGTGGAGCCTCTGACTCCGAACATACTGCTTTTCCACCAAAGGACGGGAGGCTGGGACTGCGGGGACCTACAAACAGCTGGGAGCCCTTCGCTGGTACCTGCTGGCCTTGCTCTCTCCTTCCCTTCTGCCCACCTGCAATGAGGGTGTGACCCACTTGCCTCCGAGGAGCTGAGCTCAAGGACAGAGATCAGACAGGTGCACAGCCCCCCTTTATTCAGCCTCCAACCCCAAAGGGCCTCCCGGGCCCTCTCAGGCATCGCCCTCCCTACTCTACCGCAGGCCATGGGATAAAGAAGCGATACCTCACCCGGGCCAGTTTGCTCAGTGGTTAGAGTGCTGGCCCATGGACCGAAGGAAGGGTCTCGGGTTCAATTCCAGTCAAGGGCATGTACCTTGGCTGCACGTTCCCCCAGCCCCAGTAAAGGCCCATGTATGAGGCAGCCAATCACTGTGTCTTTCTCACATCGATGTTTTTCTCTCTCCTCCTCTCTCTCTCTCCTCTCTTCCCTTCCGCTCTCTCTAGAAATCAATGGAGAAAATATCTTCAGATGAAGATTAAAAAAAAAAAAAGCAGCAGCAGCGATGCCTCCCACCTGCAGCCAAGCCCTGGGCACCCCCAAGGGCTGCACAGCCCGTGTGCCCGTGGAGCCTGCTCTCAGGTGCCCTCACGCCAGCTCTGGGCCAGCAGCAGTGAGGACGCGGCTCAGGTGCCTCTTCTCGAGTGTCCTCTGCACCCACGCCAGGAGCACCCTGCCAGGGCCGCGGGTGCAGGGGCTATTTATAACTAGCTGCCGGACCAGGTTCTCCACCCGCGCGGCCAGTGGAGCCGGCTGGGCCGAGCAGCCAGAGATGCTGCCGGAGAAGCAGAGGCCGACGGGGTGGGAGCAGGTGCTGAGCAACACAGAGACTGAAACCGGCTCACCCGGTGCTGAGCGACCCCATCAGGGCAGCCCCGGGCTGTCCCCGGGGCCCGAGGCGGTGGGGGACTGAAGGCACTGTGTGGCAGAGCACCGGCCGGCGGGGGGTCAGGACACACAGGACTGGTCACTGCCCTAGCCTCTGTAGCACATGTGGCTGCAAAACCCTCTCACCTCATCACCACCACGGGCCCCGGGAGGTGGCTGTCCCTATTCTCTGACCCCAAATAAGGAAAAGGAGGCTCAGGTAAAGGCCACCCAGCTCCGAGCAGACCGAGGGCACGGGCTCTGGTCCTGTCGAGGCCGGTGTCCCGGCTCCGCCTCCCCAGTGACTCTCAGCAAGCAGCCTCCCCTGGTGAGTGTGTCTCACCGGGCACAGAGGAGGGGCCTGCAGGAGGCGGAGGCTGAGGGCACCTGGTCTAACATCCTCTCGCCACGAAACGGACAGAGAGGAGCAGCACAGGTGTCCGAGGCCCAGGAAGGATGGCTGTGCCCCCAGACACAGCCCGTCACGGGGGGGTGCACAGCTGTGATCCCAGGACCCTTTGTTCAGGCATCCACCCAGGAACCAGGTCGTTCTGGCTGAGTAGGGGCCTCCAATGCCAACGCACTCCTGCCCCAGGAAGGGTCTCGGTTCTTCCTCATTTGGGCGTCCTGGCTTCCCGGGGTGCCTCGCCTAGCCGGGGGCTCCGGCCACGCACGGCCCGTGAGTGGCCCCACCCTGCACGCCCAGCACCTCTGGGTCCGGAGCAGAAGGCTCCTGGAAATGGCTCTGCCTAAAACCCTGGCGGCGGCTTGCAGGGTGACTCAGCATGTGGAGGTCTGAGCCGCCTGGTGCTAACCCTGCTTCTCTCACCTTTTCTCCTACACCTGAACACAAGTCCTCCACCTCAGCCACCAGCTGCCACCCTGTCACAAGCCCGTGTGCCTTTTGTCCTCTGAGTTTCACATACAACGTCCCCCTCCTGGTACTGTCGTCGCTCTTCAATTCTACGTTTCCAGGTCCTACCCTTTCTTCCAGGCCCAGCTAGAAGCTTCCCTCCCCACCGACCTAGCCCGGTGCCACAGGGATTGCAACGGCGTTCCCAGTTCTGTGCCCCAATGGGAACTGCGTGATCTGAGTTAAGCCCCAATGGCAGGGACTGGTTTTGCTTATTGCTCTCTATCCCAGAACCTAGAACAGGGCCTCGGGTGTGACAGGCACCCCATAAACACTGGCTGGATTAATGAAGACATCTCTGTATCCCCCCAAAATGCATAGGAAGGTGCCCCTGGCACAGAGACGGGGTTATTTTTTCTTTTTCTAATTTCTGTATTTAATTTTTAGAAAATGACACATCTCTGAGGACTAAGTAGTAATAGATGGGTGAGTTTAATGTTTCTTGAGTGACTGGACCCACACATTAACCAGCTGGCCCCTCATTTGGCACTGGTCACATACTGCAGTCTGCTATTACTTTTCTCGCTTTGTGTCCCGTCTCCCCAACCTACCTGCAAACTTTTGGACAGCCAGGGCGGATGCAAAGAGGACACCTGCCCTTCATTTCTCCCTGCCGTGTGTAACTATTCGGCATCTGGTATGTACCTAGCAGGTCCTCAGTGGGTCCTGGCTGAAGTGAGAGAGCCCTCATCCAGCCTCAGCTCCAGCCCACAGGCATGTCCTAACCAGAGCAGCAGCAGGAAGTCCACTCCCTGCCTTGCTCAGTGCAGCCTAATAGGAGGCAAGGGAAATGAGAGAACCAGGAAGAGGGTCCCTCCCCTCCTACCTGAGCAGCACAAGGCATGCTCCATCCTGCAAGAGCTGCCATGCCTACCTTACAGGGCTGGCGTGAGGACAGAACGAGCCAACAACCGAGAACATGAGCCTGCCGTGAGGCAGGGGCCTGAGTATAAACATGAGCTTCCTACTTGCCTTCCTGTCTCACTGCATCCTGCCTTTCCTCTTCCTGTCGTGCTTCCTAGCACTGGGGCTCGCCTGGATCCAGAGTGGCCTCCTTATCTCCATTCCTCACCCTTTCCCCATGCAACCCCAATTCATCCTCTCCCCCAGGCCCCCAACCTCCTGACTCTGTGGCAGACCAGCCAGCTCCCCTGCCCAGCTACTCGCCCGTCTCATGTCCTTTCCACCCTCAGCTCCCACCTCCCACCTCCCACCCAGCCTCCCTCAGGACTGAAGCTTACCTGTGCCAGGGGGACTGGGGCAGTGGGCACCCGGGGTCACCTGGGTCCCATCTGTAGAGAGAAGGAAGACGAAGTGAGGGGCTGCAGGGAGGGGGCCAGGAAGAGGAAGGGGAAATGTCCAAGCGAGGCAGGCCCCTGCCTCTCCAGGGGGCCCCACCTCCAGCTGGAGCCCCCCAAAACCTGGCACCTCCAACAGAGGCTCACCGAAAAGAGAAGACTCCATCCCATCCCTTTCCTCAAATCCCCATGCCGGAGGACAGCGATCCTCGGCTCCCTCTTCCTCATCCAATCAACTAAGCGACTCAGCTCGCCCTGCGGGAGCTCAGGCCACAGCAGGAACCCAGGGAGGCCCCGGTTCACCCAACAATGCCCTCAGCCCTCCCAATGTGCTCAGATACAATCTCCCTGGGCCCAGGCTCCCGTAGCCCCAAGGGAAAGAAGAGGGCTGGGAGGTGAGGTGGGGCTGGAGGTGGGACAGCAGGGCTGGTGAGACCTGTGGAAGATGCCAAGAGGGGCGTGGAGGAGGAGGAGGAGAAGGAAGAGGAGGCAGCGGCTTGGAAAAGGGACTCGGAGGCTTCCCAGTGGGAGAGGGACTAGGTCAGGGCCTAGAGGTCAAGTCAGGCCTGGTGGGCGCTGTAAAGTGATGGCTCTGGAATGCGCACGCAGCCCAGGGGCCCCATAGTAGGTACCCCTTTCCTCCTCCTGCTCCAGCCTGCGCCCTTCAGTCAGTCCTACCCCCCTCCCCGAGAAAGAACGGCTCAGCCTTTCTCTTGAATAAGTTGTAACAGAAGTGCTTCCACCTGCCCCAGCCTCCTAAGCACAGCTCAGACCCATCCCATTCATAACCCACGAAATGCACGGCAGGGCCAGAGCTGGTGAGCAGCAGAGAGGCCCAGAGGAGCACAGAGACTGTGGGGTGGGGGAGACAAAGTGAGTCCAGAGGCCACCTGCCCAAAGTGGACACTTTCCCTCCTGCTGTCCCAGCTCAGGGTTGGGAGACAGGAGGCTAGGACATTGGGAAGCTGGGAGGGGGGCATCTGGTGGACACACGGGAGCCCTCTTTGGCACAAGGGTTATTTTCTGGAGGACAATTTTCTGCGAGAGCCGCTCTTTGGGCTGTGTTGAAGGGGCAGCCACAGTTCCTCTTCCAAAGCTGAAAAGGAGAACTCCCTGCGGCAGGCGCTGGGGGAGGGGGTGACTCCAGGCACAGAGAGACTCCCACCAGCTGGCTTCCGTCACCAGGGCCCAAGCTTTGAATGGCAATGTCTGGGAGGGAAACACCACTCCCCTCCCTCAAATTCTGCCCACCTTCCGAAGTCCAGTCCACGCCCATGTCCTCCGGAAGCTCACCCGGACCTCTCCTGGCTCCCCAGAGCAGCCATTCTGTGCCCAGCCCCCGGACACTCCGCCCAGTATGGTCTCTGGGTGTCGTCTGTACGCCATGCCCACCTGCACCTATCACCTTGCTGGGCACACGGCGGACACCGGTGAATGGAACACAGTGGCTCTCTCCTGGCCCCTTGCCTGGGACAGGGCACGAGGCCTGTGAGCCCCAAGGAACAGTGGTGTGGGGGCAGCCTCTGCACCCGAGGACATGGAAACCCCTACCCCAGGTTCTCTTAGGACCTCCTCTTTCTTCTGCAGTACCTGGTCCCCCAAGACAGGTTTCTGAACCAGGCTCCGGGGCACAGGCTCAGAGGCCGTGTCAGGCCCCAAGTCCCTGCCTCAGGCTTTCTCTCCTACCTCCGTGGGTCCCTGCCCGAGGCCTGCTCAGCAGCCTGCACGCGCTGGAACGGAACCCGGTTCTCTGCGCTCCACTCCCCTGGGAACTACCGATTCTGGACACCCTGCCCCTTCTGGATGGGAGAGAAATTAATGACCCTGAACTCTGCAGTGTTTGCTGCCTGGCCCCAAAGGGATGGACTGTGATGCTGATTGATGGTCTAAATTCGGTTCAGAAAAAGCGTGTCCGTGTCCGTGTCCGTGTCCGTGTGTGTGTGTGTGTGTGTGTGTGTGTGTGTGTGTGTGTGTTGCCAACAGGGGCTGCTTCCAAAAGCAATTCCTGGAAGAAAAAAAAAAAGTTCTGCTTCTCCCCTAACTCCCTGGCTCGGTGCTGACAGCCTCTATGCGTCCAGAAGAGCCCAGAACAATAGAGAAAAGATCCCGGGAACCGCTCTCCTGTGTCTCAGAGGAAGGAAAGGTATTGAAAGGGACACGGTCAGTGGTTGAACTGAAACCTGAAAGTGAACATCCTGCATCCCAGGCTTGGGGATCACGCAGGGGACCCCTCCTCTCCTCGGCCCCCCTCAGAGCACTGTTGCCGCTAAAGTGGGGTCTCACTGTAATAAGATCAGGGGTAGGTGGACCCGAGGGACCGAGAATGCTTCACAGGGCTGGATCCTTCTCCACACATCTCCGGGCCGGGGTGGGGACCTCTCCTTTTCGGAATCCTGGCTGCCCCCGCCCCCCATTTCTACCGTCTTGGGAAGCAGCTGTCGTCAGGCTGAAGAGGCAGTTTACTCAGCACCAAGGCCCCAAGCCTAGCGAGTCACCTCCCCAAACCGGAATGCCAGCTCTCACCCAGAACCAGAGAGCCCCAGAAACCCTGCTCCAGCGGCCCACCCCGGCCCTCAGCTACCTCCAGAGCAGACACAAAGGCCACTCTTCTGTCCCTGGGCGCCTGCCTGCGCTGCCCTGCCCCCCTACCTTGTTGCCCTGGGCCCTCACCTGCCCCGCAGAAACCTGAGCCTGCCCAATCGCCTGCTCCCCAGGTGTGACAGGCCCCCGGCCAGGCACAGGGCTTCCTGAGGAGCCCTGCCACCCACAAGCCTCCTCCCAGCACCTCCAAAGTCTTTCTTAAGCGTTCCACATGCCCTGACTCCTGACCAGCTAAGGAGGCCCAGGCCCCAGCAGCCAGCGGAGAGCGGGCAGCAGCAGCAGCAGGCCAAGTGCCAGGTCCAGGCTGACCCCTGCCCGCCCCACGCCGCAGCCCTGACACAGGCGGGACCATGCTGGACTCCGTATCTGGCCGGCAGAGAAGAGGAAGGCTGCGGGGTGACATGGCTTCAGGAAAATCCCCACATAAACAAACATAAGAAAGAATAGCATGGTGGCCAGAGCTCTCTGACACAGCGAGGGCTGAGCATGGCGCAGCTCTTCTCGAAGGCACTGAGGGCACAGAGTGTGAGAACGTTAGGAACTGGGGGCTTTGGAGACCGTTCAGGCTCACACAGAGGAGGGAGGACAGAGGGACAGGGGCGAGGTCCCGGCCACCCGGCAGGTCAGTGGCACAGCCAGGCCAGATCAGACCAGCGCAGGGAAAACCCACATCGATCCCAGACACAGGTACTGAGGACCTCCATGTGAGGGCACTCATCTGGGGGTTGAAGAGATGGAAATAGGAGTGAAATCTGGTTCTCACTTTCAAGGAGTTTAAAATAAAGCACTTTTTAAAAAATTTTTTTAAAAAAATGCTACTTACAGATACTAACACATTTTCAAGGAGCCTCAAGAAGTGTAAAACAACATTTCTCACCCACCCAACTCCCTTGAACCTCCGTAGAATGGACTCTGTTTGACAGTTTCTTGAGTCTCCCTTCCAGAAATTCTCTTAGTACTAATTTTCTTGGCACGAAGCCGCCGATTGCTCAGATTTACCCAGAACCCAGGGAGTGGGAGTTGCCTGGAAACTCCTGCCACGTGAAGTCATGGAAGTGAGGGTCCTCAGCCTGGAGGGCATTGGCTTTGAAGTCAGATGGACCTGGCTTCACACTCTGACTCCCTCAGGGACCGGCAGGAAGAGCCAGGGACACAGTGTAACCTGGTCAAGCCTCAGCTGCCCCTGCAACGAGCAAGCGGATAAGCATATCTGCGTGGGAGCAGTCATCCTAGATTAGCCATGCTGTGTGAGAAGCCCCTAGCATGTGGTTGGTGCTGCCTTCATGGCTGTGCTCAGTAATACTTGCTCCTGAACTCGCCTGCAGCCTCTCTGGCACAAGCATTTCACCTTCCTCTCCTCTACCACCGTCCCTTTTCTCCCGGATGCAGTCCCCAGTGCCATCGTTTATCCCTCGCCCCTCCCAACCAGTCCCATCGCTTTCCCTTCCATCTGAACTTCTGTAAACTAACCCTTGACGGTATGCCAGGAGCTGCTCTAAGCGCCTTGCACGTGCTAATGCCTCTAACCCTCATGACAAATGAACAAGACGGTTGCTGTTTTTATTGCCATTTCATAGATCAGCAGGCTGAGGCCCAGCAGCATTGTCTGAAGTCATGTAACTTGGAAGTGGCTGTGCCGGGACTTGAGCCAGGCAACTGGACTCTAGAATCCAAGTTCTCAACCAAATACACCCCACTGCTCCCCAACCCTTGTTTCTCCTCACAGGCCAGTAAGGGGAGAGCAAAGGCAGGGCCTCGCTGGGCACAGGGAAAGTCGCAGAGCTCCCCCCCAGAGATCCCTACCAGCCATGAACCCCACCCTTGCCACAGGCTGGAGGGGAGAAGCTGCCCGTTCCATCTCTGGGCCCCGTGAAGACAGTCCCAAAGAATCACTTCTGGAAAGCAGCCAACTGTTGTCCTCCCAGATCCCACGCAGTGACTTCCAACTGCGTGTGGGCACATGGGGCTGGAATTGGAGGAGCACGGGCTTCCCTTCCCCTGCTCTCGAGTGCTCTGCCATATCCCTTCCCTAGAGGCTCCGAGGTCCCTCCAGGTTCTTCACTGGCACCCCAAAGCAAGGTCCACCGTGCAGGCAGAGGGGCCAGCTGCCCACGGGGGCGGAGGCTGGGCTCCCAGGTGACCTGCCTGGGACGCGGGGCTGCCACCACAAAGGCCTCCTGTCCCTCTAAGCAGGCGAGGGGCCTGGAGCTCTGCAGGCTCAGCAGCTGTGCACCAGCAGGAGGCTGGAGGTGGGAGCCGCAGAGCTGGCCCTCCAGCCTTCGCAGCAAGCCTGCCCCCTTCCCCACGCTGGGGCGGGTGGCAGCTATTTTTAGCTCTTGACACCTGGGTATTTTGCAGCCGCAGGATGTCCGGTTTGGAGTCTCTTTCTGGGA